ATGGCTGAAATCTGCAATTAATTTCATCTTTAATATTATTTAAGTTTGTTACTGGTCTCCATACTTGAACCTACATATATATTTAACGTGTACAAATTAATACTGTTGTTGCAAATCATTTTGTATTCCAAAGTCTCTTGTCGATCTAAAAAAAATTGTTTCCTGGCCAGCTCAGCTTTTGATAGTTTTTAAACGTCTATAAGTTTTGTTAACAAATATGTAAGACCTGGCATGTTTGTTTTCTTAGAAGTGCAATGTTTAAGGAAGATAAGATATGCGGGACGAGTAGCACGAGTGGGGGAGATAGAAGTGCATACACAATTTTAGTCTGGGAACCTGAATTAAAAAGACCACAAGGGGGCCCAAAGGCGGATAATAACATAGCATTAAAATGGTTCTGAAAGAAATTCTGGTGAGAATATGTGAACTAGAGAAGGCCTGATGTCGGATTCTTCTTCGAGTTCCATAAAAAAAGGAAAATTTCTTGACTCCCTGAGCGGCTTTCTGTATCTTAAGTACATTAATTTGTAAAGTTAGCTTGTTTGTTTGTTTGGTTCCTTGTTTGATATGTTATCTTAGGTCGTTCTTTCGTCCTTCAGAACAGACTTATCAGGGAAATTCATTGGAAGTCATTAGGCTACCAGAGAGCATTAGCAGATAAAACACATCACCTGACAAATTAACAAAACGCCCTTCGAGATGTCGTGGGAAGATAGATCCTTGTACCTATTGCTTAATGAGAGACGATGTAGGAGGTAGGTACAAGGGACATCAGTCATATAATGATGATATGTTACAATGAGTAAAGAACACCATATTGTTATTGCTATTGTTTCCGAAGTGCTTGGGAAAGTATTTGAATCTGAGAATAATAAAAGTGAATTTTATGATACTACATAACGGGCATCGCAAATGCGTCTTCTGATCAGAATGTTCATAGTCCAGACAGAATCCTTTGCCTGTTCTCCTTTGCTCCTTTGATCTCCCTGTTTAGTCCTCCAATAATATTTTCTGATAATTCCTTCAAAGGAATTCTATTGCCAACATGTTAATACAACTCATTCTTGAATATGGCTGTCTTCTGGATTGTTGTGCCGTGTAGCCTGGTAGAATTTTACCGGCGTTTCAGAGGTGCATGTTGCCTCCATCATCAGGGCGATCTCTGAAACGTCAGTAAACTTCTACCAGACTGCACGGCACAACAATCCAGAAGACAGCAGCCGTCTTCGTACTTTCAGAATGGCTGTCTAGTTGAGTACGGGGACTTTCAACTCCGCAAACTCGGTAAGTCAATCTGATACGAAGTGGTTTTCAAAACATAATAGATTCACTTTATTCTTATGTATTTTTTCTTACGCAATGCGATGCAACGCAACATTAAAAAACAAAACTCCTTTATTAAATTCGTATTCTCATTCAAATATTTAATTTCTTCGGCGTTAACGACGTAAGAAATTCTTCCAGTTCTTGATTAGCTGACCCTCAAGTCGATATGGCGTCACGCCTTCGCGTGTAAATTTAGTAACCGTTTATTAGACATGCTGTAAGCATGTGTGGTCACGATCTGACCTGCTTTGTTCTGCTTCCACTCAGGAAAGAGATCAATGGCAAGGTGACTTAAGTGCAGTGGTTATAAAGGGTCAAATCCTGCGTAAGACGTTTAAATATCCATAGCCATGACACCCATTTGCAAGGCGACTAAAATATTGATCTGTTAATTATTAGTGGCACAATATGAAAATAAAATAAAGGAATATGCGCAGAACGAAGGAAAGAAAGGAAGAAGCAACAAATAGACAGACAAAAAAGGAAATAATTGACCTTAAGGCAACCGATCCTGGTACAAGGTGCTCCAATGTTCAGATAACTTTTTCGAATCCTGCTAGGGTCATGATGTTTGTTCGTAATTTTAACTATTTCATCTTACAAGACGCTTCTAAGCATTGTAATCCTACCACCTCTCTCAATATAACTTAGAGAAGTACTGAAGCTAATTAAACAATTAGCTTTAAACGTGTCTGAAATGCAGAGGAACTCTATCCCACACAGCGTTGCCTGCAAGTAGCCTCTAGTTCAGTCCAATCTGTCTTCACTAATAAGGCACTTTGTCGAGTCACATTTGTGAGGCACCCGGTTCGAATGTTGTCGTCGGCTATTCTGAATTTCTTTAGTTCTTACAGGGTAATAATGAGATAGTATGGCCTATCCCAGGGTGAATGACGGTCGCTTCCTTATAATTTATTTCCAATTTGCCAACCATAAACAAATATCATCTAATTTGACATTTTACAGCTTCTTCTGTTTATATAGGTCTTTATATATATATATATATATATTCAAAAACAATAAAATACTAAAGGGTACCACAAACATCCATCTTCACACAGACCATTAGTGATCCAGAAGGGAAATGGTTTTAGTGAATTCTATAGGCCTACTACAAAGTACGGCAAATTAGATATGTTAACTTTACATGGCTCTGATACATGGTCTCTCACCCTAAGAGTAAGGCGTAAGTTGAGAGAGTCTGAGAAAAGTGTGTTTAGAAGAACATTTGTTTCTACTGAGGCGAAATGACAGGCTAATGAAGAACATTTCATAATGATGAACTTTATAATTTGTGCTCTTTACTAAATATAATTATTGGGGTGAATTAAGTAAGAAAGTTAACATGGGCGAAATGTGAATCTCGCATGAGGGAAATGACAAATATATACAAAATTCTTGTTGGAAAATCTAAAAATAAGAATTCCTACCACTTGGGACGACTTTTACCGCAAATAGTAGACTACAAATTTATTTTATTACCATTTTACTCAAGGACCGTAACCACAATATAATGTGACAAAACGGAAACGGAGAACCCTCATCATGAGCAGGAAAAACCCGTAAGGGATATTCATCTTTAACTCTGAGATGACCCGAGCTACTTTTCCAGGTACGCCTGCAGTCTGCTTTTGAGTGTATGAATTGAAAGCACATTTGTATCTCAGCTTAACTATGCAGGCACTGTACGACCCCCTGCCTTGTCTGTGCGGATGTTGCGTGCCCCCGGCAGTAACAGTAGCAAGGATCTTAAGAAGAGCAGAGTCCCTAGCTTCGAAGATATTCCTCTTCAGGCCTGGTTCATGACTGAAAAGCCACATTTCATAATTTATGAGGTCAGTGTAGAAACGTGTCTTGGAGGTTGAATAACTTACAGTGGTCTTAATATTACCCATATACTTAATAAATGTGGCATAATAAACTATAGTCAAATGCGGCAATTACGTCATGGCCAAGAACAAGTGTTGCATTCCTTCTTAATGTCTTTGATCATAACTTTTTTTGAGTTCCTTATATATAGTCAATTGCATGCCGCGCACGTAACCCCTCCCTTTTTGCCTTCTCATTGGTCAGTTTGGAAATCAGTGACGAAACATGCAAATTTCTTCCATACCGCCAGAGACCGCTGCCGTTATAATCAACCCTTCAGCTTTCCCCGTTCAACAGCGGGGTTCTGCATCCTCTTCCCCTGCCCTGACCATTTGCTTTTTACCCCCATCCCCTTTAGTTCCTCCTCTACTCTATTATATGGAGAATTATCTCGTATTTCTTTTTTTTATACCAAAAAACTAATAATGGAGTGGGGGCCAGTGTCGTTGTTTGGTACCAGTCACGGACCATCACTGATCCAGAGAACAATTTCATGCAGTGGTTAGTTTCTGATACGTGGGACTTGGCTTTATTTCTTCTTGAAGGACAGGGATCTACGTTATGTACGTAGAAGCCATAATGACAGTTTTGAATAAAATACTAAAGGGTACCACAAACATCCATCTTCACACAGACCATTAGTGATCCAGAAGGGAAATGGTTTTAGTGAATTCTATAGGCCTACTACAAAGTACGGCAAATTAGATATGTTAACTTTACATGGCTCTGATACATGGTCTCTCACCCTAAGAGTAAGGCGTAAGTTGAGAGAGTCTGAGAAAAGTGTGTTTAGAAGAACATTTGTTTCTACTGAGGCGAAATGACAGGCTAATGAAGAACATTTCATAATGATGAACTTTATAATTTGTGCTCTTTACTAAATATAATTATTGGGGTGAATTAAGTAAGAAAGTTAACATGGGCGAAATGTGAATCTCGCATGAGGGAAATGACAAATATATACAAAATTCTTGTTGGAAAATCTAAAAATAAGAATTCCTACCACTTGGGACGACTTTTACCGCAAATAGTAGACTACAAATTTATTTTATTACCATTTTACTCAAGGACCGTAACCACAATATAATGTGACAAAACGGAAACGGAGAACCCTCATCATGAGCAGGAAAAACCCGTAAGGGATATTCATCTTTAACTCTGAGATGACCCGAGCTACTTTTCCAGGTACGCCTGCAGTCTGCTTTTGAGTGTATGAATTGAAAGCACATTTGTATCTCAGCTTAACTATGCAGGCACTGTACGACCCCCTGCCTTGTCTGTGCGGATGTTGCGTGCCCCCGGCAGTAACAGTAGCAAGGATCTTAAGAAGAGCAGAGTCCCTAGCTTCGAAGATATTCCTCTTCAGGCCTGGTTCATGACTGAAAAGCCACATTTCATAATTTATGAGGTCAGTGTAGAAACGTGTCTTGGAGGTTGAATAACTTACAGTGGTCTTAATATTACCCATATACTTAATAAATGTGGCATAATAAACTATAGTCAAATGCGGCAATTACGTCATGGCCAAGAACAAGTGTTGCATTCCTTCTTAATGTCTTTGATCATAACTTTTTTTGAGTTCCTTATATATAACCAAGAACAAGTGTTGTATTCCTTCTTAATCTCTTTGACTATAACTTTTTTTGAGTTCCTTATATATAGTCAATTGCATGCCGCGCACGTAACCCCTCCCTTTTTGCCTTCTCATTGGTCAGTTTGGAAATCAGTGACGAAACATGCAAATTTCTTCCATACCGCCAGAGACCGCTGCCGTTATAATCAACCCTTCAGCTTTCCCCGTTCAACAGCGGGGTTCTGCATCCTCTTCCCCTGCCCTGACCATTTGCTTTTTACCCCCATCCCCTTTAGTTCCTCCTCTACTCTATTATATGGAGAATTATCTCGTATTTCTTTTTTTTATACCAAAAAACTAATAATGGAGTGGGGGCCAGTGTCGTTGTTTGGTACCAGTCACGGACCATCACTGATCCAGAGAACAATTTCATGCAGTGGTTAGTTTCTGATACGTGGGACTTGGCTTTATTTCTTCTTGAAGGACAGGGATCTACGTTATGTACGTAGAAGCCATAATGACAGTTTTGATTTTTGTTACGAAGTGTGAAGTACAGATTTCACAGTTGAATAAGGCATTGGCCCAGGAGTGGCAACTCTGTCTCTTTGACTGAAGCAAACAAGAAGAAGAAACAAAAGTGTGCTACTGCTGTAGTCTTCAACGTCTACTCCTCAAGACACAGTTATGACAAGCGTAACAACAAAACACAAAATATGAAAATGTGGACATTAATTTCCGCGTAAACATATTTTGTAACAATAATAATAATGGTCAACGTGTGTAACAAAACAGAGAAAGTTACTTAGTAATTAAGCGTTTCTTAGAAATACTTATATTATTGACTGTTTAGGATTTTAGTGGTTAATTTAACTTTGAAGCTACATTTAATTATGGTTACATGAAGTTTAATTTCAATTTTGAATGTGTAAGTGTCTGAAATGTTTTATGGACGTAACAGTCGATTAGCATTGATCATGGTTGACGTTCTGAAGCGGTTTGAGGCTGCCCAAAATGGTTTAAAAGTGATTAGAAACAGGTCTCAATTGATATTACTACCCATGACAAGTAAGACTGGAACTGAGCTAGTGAGTTATTTTAAATAAAATTCTGAAATCCGAAAACTTTCTCTATATTTGCTACTGTTTAGGGTTTAAAACATCGTGGTTTTAAATGAATACCAACATTTATTTATATATAAAGTGACATTTGATTTGTAAACTATCTATAATTTGTGTCACGTGAACAAAGCGCTGTGTATAATCGACGCTGTTTCATCTATAAAATTTGTTAATTATATATTTTTTTTAAAAGATTCAGATGCTTGTGAAGTAGTGTACAAAATACTTTCATATATTATAACATTCTTGAATAAGTTTGTATATTGATATTTGAAATTAAGAAACCCTCTAATGTCGGACAATTAACTCTATACACGGCAGTGGTGACTATGTGTACCACCTACTTAATCGGTTTAAAATTCTGAATTCTGGTCTCAGTAATATCCTTGCAGATTTCATTTGATAGTCAAATCAAACAATGATTATTTTCATGAACATAATAGCCAACTAAACGTTATTTGGGAGATGTACGTTTTCTTGAAGGTAGGGACCGAGTTTTTATATATTGTCTGGTTGAACTTCGCACTTTAAAGTGTTGGTCCATCAAAAAAGGATTTGAACGGCAAATTGAGTACATCTTCTGGATCAGAACAACACAAACATGAACCCAAGTAAGAAAGGTGGAGGGACAGGAAACAAAGGTGCCAACGGCGATGATAAGTCCTCCGGAGGAGGCAAAGATGACACCGGAAATGCGGGAGACAAAGTCAGCTCCGGGGGTGACACAGAAAGCGTTGGGTCAGGAAAGAAGCCAGGCAGTGCGGGAGTGTCAACAAGGGATGCAGCCCTCAAGGTCCTCCAACTCTCCCAAAAGGGTGAGTGGCCCCCTGTGGATCAAGCCCTGAAAGCCCTGGAGAAGATCGTGGCTTCTGGAGGAGAAGACACCAATACCACACCTCTGCTAGGGGTCCTCGACCCGGTAAGTTTATAGCTGTCACAAAACTGTCTAGTAAGCAGAAGATATAAGTACTTAAATGCAGATACTTTTATTGTCTACCGTAAATAATATTAAAATGGCGCACGGGTGAAATTCTGAGGGGATACGCCGTAATGTTTAGATATTTCAACGACATATAATAGGCTATATTAAATTAAAGTAGGATATTTAGTGTTGCATATAAACGTTGTATAATTACGTTAATTTGCATTCACGTATCTGATAACGTCACGGTACATTAAATTTCATTAGCACGACAAAAAGTTAACGCAGGGTCCTAAAAGTTGTGTGCTATCTTAATGGAACTTAGCTATGTCCAGCTTTTGTTAAGATACCGGTTCTTCACCATATACCTTAGGCTCCGCTGCCATCACTATTTTTGAAAGACGTACCAAGGAGGCGCCATAGGCCACTCAAAAGAGGCCCCTGGGCGTCGTCATGGACCGTCCTCGCTCGGTGGTAGCCCTGGTTAAGACTAAAGCAGAAAATTGTGAACACCAGCTGAACAATGAGTCGAGCTGTGTGCTGCGTTTTGGGTGTGAATGTGGTTCGTAGAATAATTGACCCATATTGCCAGTATAATAGCAATGCTTCGCGTGATGGATTTGCCTTGCTAAAATATTCAGAAAAGTGGGCGTACGTTTCAGATGTGTCCGAAAGAACGTTTTCATGGAAAAAAAATGGGAGAGAAATGGAGTGTGTGTGTGTGTGTCTACTTCAAGATAACACCTAAATAAATGTACGTTTGAAAACAATAAAAGTATAAACGACATCAAATATATTTAATAGATTTTTCGTAAAAAACGCTGTGAACGCTGCATAATTCTTAATTTTCTTACACCTTCTTCGCATAATATTATTCTTGACTGCCATCACCATTACTCTTTATCATCATGTTCTTCACTTCCCCCATCGTGATGATGTTAATAATGTCAACAATTAATTGCTTATTTATCTCCTCATCATGATTATTACCTTATTCATAACAATTATTACTCTCATATTCAGATCGCAGTTATCATAAAATCATCACCGTCATTAACATCATCATTAACAGCAGCAAATTTTTCTTTTTGTTTTTATCCACAAGAATAGGTCACCAGGGTTTAATTTTAGAATCATCATTTTGTGCCTGACCGTCTTCTTTCGAATCTCCTAAAACCTCTCATTCCGTTCGTTTGTTATTAATGTATTGTCATTCGTTTATCCGAGCTGCTCTCTCTACTGGGAACTTACTTCTCACTACCTGCTACTCTGTTGATTTCCTACTATTCTTTATCTTATTATGTACATAATGTTGCATTGAACCAAATAACTTACATAGAATCCGAGGAATCTTAGTGTTCCTGCTTCAAGTACTGTACAGAAGATCCATTTTCGTTATAAAAGCAGTAGGATTTATTTGCTGTTATTCTGTGATACCTTTATTGAACACAGTGTAGTTACTTTTGGTGAAATTTTAATTATGCAACTTATTTCAGAGATTATTCACGGCCCTGTTCTTGTGAAGCGTCAGAAATACAGCCCAAATCCATACGGTACCAGCACCCAAAATCATAATCATCATTTACAATCAATCGTCGTGAAGTCTTAAAAGCAACAAGTTTTATTTTTTTTTTAATTTTGTTTATGCGTGTCATTTATAAATTCTTCTGCTGAAAGCGAGTGGTAATTTTAAAAAAGAAATAAGTAAGAGGGGTAAGCAAATACGGTAATTACATGGGGAAAGCCTTGAGAGAGGTAAAGTGTTGAAGGCGTTTTTTATGCAAGAGTATGTTCGCTTTCATAAATTATTGTGCGCAGTTGTTCTTGTTTTGAATGGGGGAAGAATAAAATTACAGCCAGAGCAAAACGCTGGCCCGAAAGTGACCATACAAATGAGACGTTCTTCAAAATGCAATAAAGTTCAATATTTATTTAGTGAAGAATTGTAACGTGATTGAAAGCGTACATTTTGTAACGTTCTTGTGCTCTGGATGTTATAATTAATCCCTACATTATTTCGAGTTTTAGGAAATTACAGCTGTTTTAAATTTGTCGGATTTTATTATTAGTGTTAAGTATCTTTTCTGGTTGTCAGCTGCGTCTATTCGGAGTAGAAATCCAATGTTTCGGAGACTTTCTTTGTTTTCATTATCAGAGAATGAAAATGATGGTAAAAAATATTTCTAAAGATTTATATATTTTTTTTGTGACGGCTGATCGCGAGAGGAAATTTGTCTTTGTGGAATTTGATTTGTTCATATTAATCTACCCGCATTTCAAAATTTTTAGAATAATAATTTCGCATTTAAACACTAAAATCTGGCAACATGGCGAATGTGCCGTTTTCACATTTTCTGTTCCAAAAACTGTTTCTGGTGTGAGAATGTGAAGTAATAGTAGCGCTCATGTACGTAAAGTGCGTCCTACTTTTTCATATGCATTAGAGGTGTTGATAGTACCGATATACATAAAAAATAACCCTTAAATTGGGTTTATTATGCATATAAAGCTGTCACCGTTTTTCTTCTTACGACATAAGAACAACGCAGTCAGGAAGTGCTGCCACCTACTCAACAATAAATTAACCTACAAATACCTTGTAGTGATGATTACTTGGCTTCATGTATTGTCATGCTGTGATTCAGGTCATACGTTATCATGGAAAGTAAAGTCTCTATTAATCATTTGTTAGCAGATTATGGAATTCGAAATTGAAGTTTCAGGTATTTAGGTTACTTAACGAGACGTCGCGTATTCTGTGAATTTCGTCGTTTGGATCAGTCTTTAATGATTCAGCCGTAATACCTCTACTATTTTAAATACGCCCCCAAAACTTTCTCTTGTGCAATGATAAGTTTGATATCACCACACATAATAAATTATTCCGTCTACGGCAAATAACCTTAGCTATTGATACGTCACATTTATGGTGCTCTGTAATAAGGGCTTACGTTAACAAATTACGTTTAACTTCAGATCTTCTTACCGAGCACCACTTATTCCATCGCCCAATGTAACCATCCATCCAACTAAAGAACTATTTGCCCGACCTACTGACTGCGTTAATGTTACAGACAGATTTCTTGCATGCACTTCATCGCTTTTCCCATAATATTTCTCGCTCACGTGCAAACTCTACGTCCCTTGGCTGGTCCCGTTGTATTAAGTTCGCCTTCTGGCTGAGTCAAGAGTGATGTAGGTCAGGGTCATAAAAAGGGATCGAATTTTACAGTGACTGAGATTTAATAGGCACATTGCTGCAATCGGAACAGGTATTTATAATTTCCTAACGACTGCGTGATACAAAACGTTCCTCACGTGATATTTACTCGGTTGCTTGAGAAATGCCTTGCAAGCTGACAAGCTCTTCATCGGATACTTCACAGAACGCTACGATAGACCTGATAATGAGGGAGTTTAATCCAATTCATTATCTTCTAAGCATGTTTTCATAGGATTACATTTTATTGTCTTCTTCCTCTCAAAGTTGTTTCTTCTCGTCTGGTATCAAAACAACATGTATCCGATACATGAAATACAGTACACCCTTATGAAAACTCTTTGTTTAATTGCTCTAATGCAACTGTTTTAACAACAGATTATAAAATTTTCAAGAAAAACCTTAGAGCATTTATTTAGTTTATCACATAGTAAACTTGTTAGTTAATTACTTAGGCACTTCATTGGATAATTCGTTAATAGGTTAGTAAACCGCCTCGTCATCTAGTTACTTAGCTTTGCCTAGTTTGACAGATAATCGGTTAAGTAACTTATCAGTTATAGGATGGGTTGAAGTGGTCTATCTGTTGTTGAATGCGGTCAGCTTTTGAAGTCATATACCAGCTGAATAAACCAAGACAGCTTTGAAATTTACAGTTCGCTTAAACTACATTAAAACAAAAGTCGATGTAGAGTAAGAAGTTGGTACTGGATCAATTGCTATATGACTTCAGAATAAAAGCTTTCACTACTGTGACGTCGTCCAGTTGGGTCCCAGACATTATATAAAAGAAATGGAAACTTCTGTTGTACGTGCATTTATATCTTTTGAAGTTTGAATTTGTAGAACGAATAATAAAACCATAATTCAGCTTAGTGTTGTAGCATTGCCGTTTCCGAGGCCTTTGTTTGACGACTCTGCAGTAATACCTTAGATTCCGTATTGCAGTAATAACAATAATAATATTAATAATAGTAGGCTTTCCAAAGGTGTTCTTCTCTAAAATATAACCAATTTAATTCACCAATCCGTGATACATGTCAAACAAACTGAAACTTCCCACATTCCACTACTCTAAAAATACAGATGGCATGTAGGCATACAAGATAAATCATGAAATTCCTACTATGCTAAATTACATACTTCTACGTCTTAGGTAAAATATCTTTCTTGGCCACTCTGTTTTCAACCATGCAGAATTTTTGTTTGGGAGTTGAGGCTCTAACGGAAATGAAGCTGTCGATGGTAGCCTTCTGGGTTGGAACTCTCTGTGACCTTACCAATGTCTCGGGGGAACATGCTACCTCCATCTCAAGGGCTACAGTGGGCTCTGGGGCATAATCAGCTTCCTCTCCATACAGTACCGGAGGGCTCTTTCTCCGGGGTAAAGAAACCGAAGCCTGAGGCTGACTACTGACCTTATAGTACAAACGAAAACATATAAAACACACTTCCACTGCTCCATAGATCTTTGTGTTTATGGTGTTTATTTAAGCATGCTAGCAACTTTTTCTGAAATTTAAAGCGATACTTTACGATTGCAATTTTCATATTATATTAATTTCTTATTTATTTCCCTACTTACTCAGTGTCCCCACAGATGTTGAAGACCCTTGGTCACCTCTCTGAAATTTAGTAACAAGAAACTCTTAACGGGTTAGGGTACACCACGCCAAACCCCAAACAGGGAGGCCCAATGTACTACACTTATGCTGGCGTTCCTTCTGACATAGGTCTCGGGGTTATCAGAATTCGCACGCCTCCCTCCTCCCACAAACACATACAAACACCCATGGCGATGGTCCTTGTCGGAGGACATTATTTCGTCTTTGATGACAATCTTAATTCGTCCCGTTCGTGATGCAGTAAACAACCCATAAGCTTGACCCTGAAACAGTCACATGGTGGAAACTAGTGACCGAGACCCGGTTTTCCTGGAGAACTCCCCCGCGCTGAAATCACAATCTCTCTTACATCTTCCGTGACCGTACCAGGAGCGTGCAAAAGAAACATTCAACATTTTTCCCCTCTCCCCCCCCCCCCCCCCCCCCATCTTGACTCTCACAAGCCAAGGGTGGAAACGTACTCCAACGGAGTACACATTTTCAAAACAGCGTTCTTTCAGATTTTATTTTCATAATCGGCGTTGATGATCATTGTGTTTTATCATCCTACTGGGAACGTCTTGTGCTTGCTTGCATTTGGCCACATGTATATTCTCTGAAACTTCTTAACAGATTCCAATTAAATTTGGCATTGTGGCCCAGAACTAAAAGTTTTGTATACATTTATATTTTATTCATATCTGTTTGTGTGAAATTTTTCCTGTCTCGTCAAGAAAACTGATTGGTAGTGTTTGAGAACAGGGTACTGAGCATCATCGAGGCGATTTGCTCTGATGATCGAGGCAATAAGAACCTTTGAAACGTACATATATTTTGATATAAAAGTAAGTACACTGAGCTGAAATGAGCCGGGATAGCTCAGTCAGTATAGTGACTGGCAACAGACTGAGCGACCGGGGTTCGATCCCCGACTGGGGCAGAGGATTCTTTCCTCTAACCTCTGCGTCCAGACCGGCTCTGGGGCCCACCCAGCCTCCTCTACAATGGATACCGGGGTCCTTTCCCAGGGGTAAAGCCGGCCGGGGCGTGATGCTGATCACTCACCCCCATCTAGTGCCGAGGTCAAGAATGAGTAGGAGCTATACCTCCACTCCCCCAAGCGCCTACATGGCGTATAGTGGGACAAACTTTACTTTACATTGAGCTAAAATTCATTTAAATTTTATTTGGTTGAAATTTTAACCTTAGGAAGATATTATTAGCTATCCGTTTTACGTGATATATTTGTTCATGTTTTCTGTGCTAGTCAACGGTCGTGACACGCGTTAATATCTTTGCGCATTATATGCGTTCTGCTTTGCATTTCAATGGATAATATTAAAACATTAGCATAAGATAAATACACCCGATAAACGTGTGTATATGTGGAACTATAAATTGTTGTACGCTGTGTTGCTTTGTAGCCTCTTCTAATTTATTAGCGTAGCCCAATAGTTGATGAAAAGTTAAACTGTAGACGTATGTATGTGTAATAAAATTAACCTACGCAGTAACCCAGTTATTAAAGCCGTTGCAGAGCCTACACCACCATTGCGGATAACAAGAGTAGCAAGTGTGGGTCCTACTCCAATCCAGAACATGCGACTTTTAATTTCCAGTACGCAACATTTAAACCAATTTGAAGCTTGTTAAAAGAAGTAGCAGTGCACCATTAAAGAGAAAAGGTAGCTGATAAGAACTAAGAATAACTAACTCTTTGAAGCCGAAGGGAGAGAGAAGAGAGAGATAGAGAGATAGAAGGGAGTTAGAATGTATAGCAGAAGACCATAAGCAAAGAGAAAATGTTAATGCGAGAAATGAAAGACATTTTACTTCTGACGGAGGAAGAAGGCGTCTTGTAATTAGAAGGTTTCCAGGCAATGTCCGCTCGTGCTTCTGATAAGGATAGAATATGAGTGACGCCTTTAGAACGAAGAAAAGTAAGACGCCGAAATTTTGATTTGCTTCTCGATGATAATTTGGAAGGTAAAGTAATTTAGTGGCTGGCCTTCACAGCAAGGGAATTTATTTTGATATAAAATAAGCAAACAAACAAACTATTAACACTATAAAAAAGACACTAGTGCCATACGCGTTTCAAACTCAAGAGGTCATCATCAGTGGCAACAGGGAAATTAATTCATTTAATCAAAATGTTTTAAAATTGGTCTAAATTGTCTTTTTTTATAGTGTTAATAGTTTGTTTGTTTGCTTATTTTATATTCTAATACACTACAAGGTATGCAAAGTTTTAATATTTATTTTGATGTTCTTTAGTCGGGAGGGCTTCAAGACAAGCACGTGGTAGCTACTTGGAACTTTGGAACCGTCTCAGTATTTGTGATTTGAGACAACGGACAAAGTCCAAGAGAACAATTTTACAAATTATAACGCATCGTAGTCAGGGTGATTAAGTCGAGAAGAATGAGATGGACGGGGCACATGGATGGCACAAGAGGTGTGCACCGGGTATTGGTCGGGAAGCCTGAGGGGAAGAGACCGCTGCGGAGACCTAGACGTAGATGGGAGATAATCTCAGGCGGGATCTATGGGAGATAGGAGTTGAAGGAAACTGGATTTTGTTGGCCCAGGACAGGGTCCGGTGGAGGGATTTGGTTAATTCGGTGATGAATCTTCGGGTTCGGTAAGCCATCTAGTTAGTTAGTCAGAAACATTCAGACTCAGATTATTGTTGTTCTTGTAATTATTATTGTTGTTGTTATTTTTACTTAACTGTTGCTGCATCCTGTTAATGGTAATTCTGCTTACCCTCAGGCGACGGGGATGACTCCGCTGCTGTACGCTGTCAAGGACAACAGGGCAGCTCTGCTGGACCGAATGATCGAACTGGGAGCAGACGTCTGTGCAAGGAACAATGTGAGTATCTTCTGCTGTCAGAAGTTTATTCAGATCGTAATCAAGTTGGACACGATTTGCAATACACCCTTCTTCAGGTAGCTGATTGCCATACTGAAACCTTGTGTTCATTTCTTGTCAATTTAATTTTGGGTACTTAAGGCACTAAAACGAATGATGGTCTGGTGGTTACCGTATTTGTCTTTTTATTTAAACGGTACTGAATTCTATACCGAACATTGTTACTAGTCTTAAACCAAAGACAAAAGTTAAATTCTCTGTTAATTCAATTCCTAGACAATCACTTGAAGACGACATTCACTATTAGCATCTCAAGAAAGATTATATCCAATGGAATTAGTTAGTTACTTAGTACTGAAGGAAGGATTAAAGCTAATTCCCTAAACATAATCTAAAGAACTATTAAATGTACCACGAACATTAGACAGCGTCAAGCATAAATCCATTGTAGTGAATGATGAATGACTCAATCATTTATTAGTTGAGTTTTCTATGCAGATTATGTGTCTACTTAATACCAGGCTAGTGCTATATAATTAACTAATAATTGTCACAAACAACTACAGAATTAAGGAAAAAGGGGTAATGTTAATTGGTTAATCGTTGGTAATCAAAATCAGCATCCTCGGTTTAAGATACTCATTTAGTTTGATAAACATCGATTCACTTAAAGAATAACATTAATACAAATTTATTAAATTGGATTAAATGTTACAAACAGTAATTCTAAGAAATTAGACATGATTTAATTTAGTAAGAGTGATATGTTTAGACGTATGCCCGACTAAACACGCTATAAACTTCTGATTTACCTCGATTTGTCAAAGATGTTGAAGAAAGTAGAGTGACTCCAGATCACCATAAACTTCTTTAATTCTAGGAAATTTGTTTATTCATGTAAATTATAATTTAAATTTCAAAATGTAAAATTTGTTTGTGTTATGTCACATTTTGAAAGCAGTTGATAGGCATGCTGTTTAGTCTGGAAGTCTTGCCCTATGTCTTGACATTCTCTTTATTGGAGATGTAAAAGTGAACTGTCGATTGTGGTCTTCTGACGCAGTGTGTTCTTGTAGGTGGGTACCAACTTTTCGGAGAAACATGCAGTCTTCGACTTCCTTATTGTAATTGCATGTAAATATAAAAGGGTTTGTCAGAAATTCAATTGATTAAAAAAATACCGCAGTTATAATAACACCAAATATTGTCTAATGAGACAAAAATATAAAACTATGTACGTAGATATGTAAGTATTTATTCTGAGTAGGTAAAAATCTGTACGGTGGCGACCTCAGCTTGTTCTGACTGAGGAGAATGACGAGAAATGTCAGTCATGATAGGCGGTAGTCATGAAGAGATTATAACCAGGCATCATTCAAATACAAGTAAGAGGGTCTACCATTGTGTTAGCTTTCTCGTTTGTTTGTTCACAATACGAACAGTTTACATGGTATGCCGTGTTATCATCGCAGGCCACGAAGGCAAAATAAAAAGCTAAGAAATTGCCAAAATCAAATTACACCAATAGCATGAAACTGACTCAGATTTAGAATACCCTGATTCGTGTTATGAGATAACAGTACGTGTCTCATCGAAATTTTTTTTCCAGAAATTTTAATCTGGCTAGATTCAAGACAGGTACGGGTGTTTTTCTGTTCTCCGACATGGGCACACTACATCTCTTATCAAATGCATGCCGGTGTAAGGATCTTTCCCCCCATGAGCAAAGTACTTGAAGTTTGAAGCTAATCATTCACGCACATCTAATGCCAAGGTTAAAAATGTGTAGTTATACACTGGCTTACCCATACGTTTTCGTGACGTGGAAATTAATTAAGCAGAAGACAAAGTATTTTTTTATTCAACCTAGTTTCATCCAAAAACAAAGTGCAGAAAGAAGACATATTTTAAAGAACCAACAGCATAGTAAGAAATTTTTTCGTAGACGATTCTCAGAATTGGAGTAGATAATAAGGTTATACACCCATGAGGTAACATGTAATCGCGAAATATGAATTCCAACCCAAATGGCTGGACTCCCACGCAATTTCCAACACGCGTTAGCGTCTTCTGTTTAGGATTTATGAATCCATATCGGACGCTGGTTGTAGAATTGGATAATGACTACGTCTTAACGAAACAAGAATTTTGTTTAATTGTTCATTTATATGGACAGTTCCACCTTAAAAGATGTCTGTCTTCTGATAATGGATACAGCAGGGACCTCTGAAACGTTGGTAAACTTCTACAAGACTGCATGTTGCTAAAACCCAGAAGAAAGCCGTCTTCGTACTCACAGCCCTGAGAACCTCAGATCCTACTACGTGTATTTAAACCAACCAAGAATATTTCCTGTTATCTTTGACAATCATTTGAAACATAAAACTACAACATAGAGCTGAGAGTCTCAGTCGTGATTCATTTCTATCGCTAAGAAAGAAGCTAATTTTCACACGCGCGCTTGGACGAGTTGTGGGCTGCTGACTCAGAGGTCACGCCATAATGTTGCCCCTCGGTACAGAGTAAATCAATGCTGACTGCTATGGCCTTCATGTCTTCGTCGTCTTAGCAAGTGCCTACAAAATGTTGCCATGGACTGGCTGCAGCCTCAGCGACCTATATTCGATTCCCGTCAGTGACTGCGATTTGCCCCTCCCACCATCACGCGCTGGCCGACTCTGCTCTGTGACCCACTGTGACCCAATGTGACCCACTGTATATCGGAGGCTCCTTTCAGTGGATTAAAATTCCAGGAGTGTGAACCTGTCCACTCTATACATTGCCAAGGTTCAGAATTAGTGCAGCTTTACGTCGTAATAGATTGATGCTTGTTCACAGACACACAGAGAAAATTTTTACCTAAGTTTCCCAAAAAAATTACCCTACTGCCAGTCTGTTTCATTATGATTTCCTAGATAGATATTATCAATATTTATTTCTTAAACAAAACAAATAACTTAATAATTTATACTCTTAGGTTGGTCGAATCAATAGACATTACATATGGCATGGTTGAGATAAGAATTGCACACAGCATTTTGGTATGGAAACCTTGTAAAGCAGTCGTTTGTATGACAGGAGGGTATATAGAATAATAAAATTAAAATTAACCTTAAAATTAAGGGTTATCTGGTTGTGATTTGTGTCCATTAGGTTTAGGTTTCGGTATAATGGCTGGATGTGGATAACATAATAATGAACATTTTATAAAATTGTAAAAGTTTCTTGACCAGTTAACTGACTATCACTTTCTTAAGAAAGGATCTGCTCCATGAAGTTAGTTTTATGTATCGTGACACAAAATAAAATAACAATTTAAATTAAATTTTTTCAAGGAGAACTTATTTGTGAGACGACAAATTCATTGACTTCAACATTAATTGGAAAAACCTAAAGGTAAAATATTTCTGAGAGGCGTAATGAGAGGTTAATACTAAATAAATAGGGTGTAATAGTATACGTAGTTCAGATCAAACTTGCTGAGAATACAGGCCAGTGGCTAATTCTTCTATACACATTAATGCAGTTCCAGTTTCTTAAAAGATAGAGAATTTCTTGGCCAACTAATTGACAATTTCTTAAGCAGGAATTTGCTTCATGGATGACCCTAATATCTAATAGCTTATATTTGAAAGAAAATAATCAATTACAAAAGACCATTTAAAGCATGAATAACTGAGTAGCGCCATGGAGAAAAATCCGTCTTGATAAGCTAATAGTCGCTCAGGTGACAAAGAAATTCTTTGTCTTTTATTGTACCGAAATATTCAATAGCGTTTACACAAGAATTTGCTACTGGAGCTTATCACAAGCTAATTGGACCGAGACAAAATCATCACACACGGTTTCTTTAAGATTTATTTTTATATTACAGTATACTGTCATCTGTGCCTAGGTCATCCAAGTTTTCTCTTTCTTTCGGGTTTTATTTTTACATTATATTTGCATGTCTAATTTCTACCATGAGTGTTACATGCAACGCCCATCGTGATCATCCTAGTTTTGGGCGAAGAATTAAAGGTCGAACATGAAATGGAGCGCATTTCGTGAAGAATAAAAGGAGAACTTGATAAATACTGAGCAAACTGACGCAGATCATAAAACTGCTTATGACGCACACGACGACACAGTGCAGAGGTTATAAATAGCTTTATCTTATGTACAGAGAGGTTAACTGTATGTAATCTCTGCTCCCACCTTGACTCACTCCTTTGGAAACATAAAGTATGATATGCCATAGATAAATGTGGTGTCAGTGTCGGTTAAATACATTTACTTTAGATTTAAAGTGGAATATTTTATCTGTAATTGTTGTCGGTAAGTTAGTCTATTAAATTTGACCTGGTTGAACTTTAAAAGTCATACATAACACAATCAAATATTCTTGGGCCATCAGCCATACAGGTTTAATGTTTAAATCCAACGTTTCGGAGAGTGTCCGTGCTCAAATTTGTCTCTCTCAGATCGTTTTAATGTTATCTCCAATAAATTTCTGTTTGTGTTCCTTTTATACTCAATACTAGCCACTGTCGCAGGCTTTCAAATTTTACTGAATTATCAGTACTAGGTGGTGACTGGTAAAACAAGAGTTTCTTATTATATGATATCCTGAAAAATATTGTGCGTCGTATATACTGTTTTTACCCACAACTTTAATATTTTGAGTATTTACCTGAATATAAGAAAATATTTCATTCTTCTTGGTGTGGTATTTATTTAGTGTACAACAATAGAAACAACAAATTCACATTTCTACTGTTGTTCTCTAGTTTATGTTGTGGATTTTCTACGAGATGCCAACATTACAGAGTAACGCTGGTAACCACGGCGCCAAAACCCGAGAGACAACAACAAACTTCTCATCGCCGTGAGAAACTCAGATCGTAAATAGCTTTAATGTACGTAACACTGATGACAGTTGTCTTCTTGGTTGTAGCGCCGCGTAGTCTGGTAGAAGATTACCGACGTTTCAGAGGTCCTTGCTGCCTCCATCTCAGGGA